AAGTAATATTCTAAATTTAATAGCGTTTAATATATATAGGCATTACATATGAATAAATAAAATCAAATTTTGAAAATAATGCAGATTATGTTAAATTATATTAACAAGATATAAACTTATAATAATAAAATATACTAATATAAATTATATATTAAATGAAAAAAATAAATTAAAATAACGTAAGATAAAATTTATTACAATAGAGTGCATTAAGATTAAATTAAATCTAAATATATTTTTATATTTATTATTTATTAAAATAAAACTAGTTATATAAATTTGGAAATGAAAGATAATAATGATAAAATTAAATTAATAAATAAGATAGAGTACATCAGTTAAAATAAAATAAATATAATATTATATAACAAAGTATAAAAAATGGTAAAGTAAAATAAAATAAATAAAATAATAAATCAAATAACTTATTATGAAATAATAAATTAAAATAAATAAAAATTTTAAACGAATATAATAAAGTAAAAAATATTATTTCATTATATTATTTTTAAATATAATATTAATAAATTCTTTATTATAATAATATCAAATAATTTAATAGATTATTTATTATAACAATCTATTAATTTATTTGTATATTATTGGCAATATTGATTATTTTATTATTTTAATTTCTTTCAATAATGAAATTATTGTAAAATATATTTTCATTGCAGAGTATGTTAAATAAACTATAAATCTTTATAATGCAAATTATAAAAATCTTGATTATAGAAGGGATTGAGTTCTTGGCATTTGCTAAATCAAAATTGTTTAATTAGTATACAAAATTAAATTCTAGAAAAACATGTGTGTATATTTTGTAAAATATTTATACTTAATTTTAAATTTACTTACATAGTTTAAATTCATTACATAAATAAATAACACTAACATGCATTAAATATTTTTCACTACACAAAATAAAAAGAAAAATAAGACGTACAACTTCTATAACTTTTATAAAAAAATAATGACATTATATGACAACAAAGTTTAAAGTAAAATAATAATTAAATATTATATGGTGAACAAGAACACGTAATACTGTTATTTTCTCTTGTATCAAGAAATAAATATATAACTAAAATCAAATTTATACTAGTATAAATGTGTTAGTGGATAATATATTAATTATTTTACAAATTAGCCCTAATATGCTCATCTTTAATATGCTGGCTAAAAAACAACGCTGATTAAAAGGGGTGAAAAATAGATTATAATCCTATTTTTTTATATTTGATGTTGATTAAAAGAGTTGAAAAATAGATGATAACTCTATTGCATTTTAGACATAAACGGACAGAGCATGTGAAAATAACTCATTTAATATCTATGTCTCGTGCATCGGACGGAGTATGTACTAGTTTAACTATAATGGATATGTATAAGTTAATATTAATTAGTCAAGTATCTACATCTATATATATATATATATATAAATGTTTGTATTTACTTGAAATAGAAACTAAAATTCTGCCTAAAAATTTTAAAATTACTAAACTTAGTAATTGTTTTAAAAATTTTTCAAAAAATCCCGCCAATAGAGCTTTAATTTCGAATTTCAAAAATATTTTTATTTTATTTTAGGGTAATTTTCATTTCTTATGGAATAGATTTATCTATTGATTTCAATATAAATAAAGATTCGCTATTAATATATATAACAATCGCAACATTCCATATCTATTACAATTAATATGATTTAGTCGCAACAATCCATATATGAATTTACAAACAGATATTCTCATTAATTTTGATTCATAATTTTTGTCCTCAAGTATTTTATTTTTTATTTATCTGCAATTTTTAGTTCCCGTTTCCCATTTGTAAAAGTGAGATGTTCTAGAAGAGTGATAATATAATCGAAAAATCATAAGTCTTGCTTAATATAATTTTATTATCTATTTATATTTTCAATAAGATTGTTTTCTAAAAGAGAATCAAGTACTTATGGCAAACTAAAATTTTAAAAGATTTTTTTCAAGATTTTCACTTGGATATAATTGAACGATCATATAAAACAAATTACTATCAATGAAGAATTCAATCTACAATCTACAACAACAAATGAAACAAATGAGTTTGATTAGATATAACATTTTTGGTTAACTTTAATCTATATTAGTTAGAATAATATATTTATTTTATTATATAATTAATAAATATATTTCTAATAAATATTTGTGCAATAAGTTGGAATATACATTCTAATTTTAACGAAAAATTATAAAATTATGAATTTTGATAATACGAAATTTATATGGATAAACTCGATATATAATGCATTAAATTAGTTGATATCCTATCACAATATTTACTTTTTCTCGTTAAAAAAAATAATTTATTTAATTTTTAACAAATCAATATTTGAAACTTTTAGCTCTGCCTGACGCACGATTTTACGCATAGATAATGTAATATCGCCTTAACGGCCATTCATATTGAAATTGTATACCTTTAAGTATTTTACAATATTAATAATGTAATTCATCGCGTTCTGGTTCTTATACTACATAGCGTAAATAGAATGTCATGTTGCGTAAGTTATAAGAGTATAAAATTTAGTTTGATAGGAATATCAAAATATTTGCATTTAATGAAATTTGATGGTTAATTTAAAAATTATATTAATGCATATTATACGACAACCAAATTTGGAATATAATAATAGTTTAGTATTATAGTGAATAAAAAGAGAGCGATGTTATTTTGGTATAAATTATCCAAATTTAAGTGGTATGAATTTGATTTGGTATGGATAAAAGTGTGTTTAAAAATTTTGAAAATAAAATAAGTGGTATGAATTTTATTTAGTATGAGTATGAAAGTCGAACTTTAGGTTGATTTCTTATCAAATCAATGTGATATAATTATCAAATTTTAGCATATTCACATATAACTTGCCATAAGATATTGATGATAATTTGAAAAATTGTTATGTATTTCTCTTGAAAATTAGAAATATATTTGAACAAATGTTTATTAGTAAAATTTAAAATTTATAATTTAATTATAGAAAATTAGTTGATAAATTTGAATGACAAGGACAACGGACAACAAATCTAGAAAATTTCTAAATTAGTATAATATAAATATATATATAATATATAAGGAGATTTATTATGTAGTCCAAATTTGGGTTCTAAGTTTAAAATGAAAATAAGTAATTATTCAGGTCAATATTAACTTGGACAAAAATAGAATAGCCAATTATCTATAGTTAAATAAATTACTCAACTACTTAAATCTTTTGGTTTTTGATAATATATAGAAAAATAATTTTTTTTAATTAATGAAACAATATAAAATTCAATATTTAACTTATTATTCATGTAGATTTTTAAATATATGATTAAATTTTACCAAAATAATTATCTAATGAAACCACATTGTATTGAAATTGAATTTATGAATATAATTTTAAAATGACACTTATGTTGAAATAAATATAATGTAATTTATTATCAATTATGTGCACCTTACGGGTTGTGTAGTAATTTTAAATGGACATATTTTATGTAATTTTGCACAATTTAAATTTGTATAACATATTAAATAAATTAATATGGGTAAATTATATTACACATTGATTCTATATTTTTAATTTATAAATATTGTTTAATAAGTATTTTTAATTTATAAATATTAATGAATATCTCTTACCCGTGCATCACACGGGATTCGTACTAGTTTGAATGACTTAAATTGACATAATATTTAATTAACAATTTTTTGTATATATAATTTACTATATTTTTATTATGTCAACTACTTTACTATCCTTAGAATATCATAAAATTGCTAAAATGTCATTAACAATCACCCTACTCACTCATCACTCGATCGGTACACCACAAAAATAAAAGTAAAAACCCGATCTCACCATCTCCCTTATAATCTCAGTCGAATATCCTAAATCTGATAGAACCAAACCCTAAAATTCAGCTTAATCCTGCGGAAAGCCCAACAATCGCGGCACTAAATTCACCAATTGAAGAACAATTTTCATAGTGTCCTGTGAAACAACTAAAAGCCATATCAATTTCATGAGAGAATCTGAATTGACTAAGATGTCGTCCGCCACCTGCAGCTGGAAATCGGCAGCGAGGACGAGGATGGGTAGGGTGATTATGCACGATCCAGAGGTCTATGGCGGTCGATGGCGGCGGAGGGTGAGGTTGGGGGTGGTGCGGTCTGACGACCTGGTATGTGCCCCAAAAAATTCAATGTCTGTGCACCACAGGTTCAGGGCTGAGGGACGGCCCCAAAAAAGTTAATGTTCGGTCGTAGTTCATGCCGGTACAGATGCTCGTCAGAGACATCATCATGCCCATGTTGTTCGGGCACTACAGGTTCGGGGCCTTAATTTTCTTCCCTATTGATCAGCCCTTTTCTTTTCAGTTTTTTGTTATAAAATTAGGTTAAAAAAGGTAATATGGTTGAATTTGGCCAATGTTATGCACTAAAACATTGGCGGTAAAAAATTTTCATTTGGCGCTCACTACTTATTTCATTTTGGTATACTCTATCTATTTAAGGTAGATAACGACCGAACAATCTTTTGATCGTATCTTCTGCTAATATCTCTCCTCTCCTTATCAGTCGTATAAGTCAAAGATTAGGCTAACAATTATCAAAGCTCTTTTACACCATTATGTTATGACTCGTATAAGTCAAAGATTAGGCTAACAATTATCAAAGCTCTTTTACACCATTGTGTTCTGGAGGAAGACCTCTTGTAACATCCCGTTTCTTTATGTTTTACATAATTTTTTACCCATAGTTCAATAGGACTGACGATGCTTAGTAGATTTTTTTGTTATACCTTATTTTAGTGTTGAATAATTAATTACCTGGCTTATGTTATTCATTCATTCTGATGGATTTTTTTTTTTTTAATTTGCCTCGTACAGACTGTTTGAAATGGCTCCTGGATTAGTTTGGAATTAAAAATAAAAATCATACCAAATAATTCTCGGCAGAATCTCAAAGATCACATGACCAAGGCAGGAGCTTTAGCACCCTGGACATCCAATAGGAGTAAAAGCAGGCAATCTGAGAAAACAAATACTCCATCAGATGAAGTGAACGAGGGATCGACAAAAACTAAACCTAAAGATAGTTTGTCTAATGGAAGCCAAACAGAGAATCACATGTTCGAGGTCAACATGCCAAATCAGTCTCCTCAAACTCAACGACACGAGGGCACTCTGCAAAATCAGAGCACTCAGCAAACTGAAAGTAGTCTGGATCCTCCATCACATCAGGGTAATCAGCATCTGCAATCACCCCAGGCAAATGATATCATTGGTACGTTTAGCTACTCTGATAGCTTAGCTAATTTGGGTTGTATGGTTTTGAAATATTTACATTAATATACTAATATGTTTATAGTGTGTATAACTGTCCTCTTAGTTGTTTCTATTTTTTGCTTTCTCTGATTGATTTGTTTTTTTGTTTTTTGTTTTTTGTTTTTTGTCTCTGGATGTGGTTTGGTTTCTGGATGTTTGTTTAGCTGATTTGACTTAGTGTTCTAGATAGGTTCAGTTTTTGCAGTTTTATCATCTGCACCTTTTAGTTCAGTTTGATCAGTTGTTGCCCGTAGCTTAGTGTTGTAGTGGTTTAGCTATTGTTGCTTAGTTTTGATCAGCTGCTCTGGCTTAGTGTTCTAGTTAGTTTGTTCCCAGGTTCTGAATTTTTTTATATTATAGGTTTCAATTTATTAGTTGTTTTTAGTTTTTTTTTTTTAATTTATCTACTTGGTTTGTTTTTTGTTCTTTGGTTGATGGTTTAGCTGCTGTGGATATTTAGAGACGCGTGCTATTAATGTGATTAATGGAATTTATAAGTAAATAATTTTATACAATTAGATTGAGGAGCTATGAGTGAGCAAACTATATGCAGTTGGTATAGATTACAAGTTTTCCAAAAGTATTCTAAACACCTACAATTTTTTACCCCAAAGAAGAGCTAGAGATATATTATTTTTTTATAAGAATGTGTAATAACGTGTTGAAATTAGAATCTGAAAATTATCAAATGGCGTGTGACTGTTATAATTGCTATATAACATTATTGTCTCTAAATAATCCTCATTGTTGAAGATAAAGCATATGCATTTTATTGAAGATTCGATGATTATTATGTTTCTTGAAAGTGTTGTAAGCCTCCATTAATCTTCGAATGCATACTTTTAATGCATCAAGATGCTTTAGCACATAATGTGTTGAACCAACATCTCACCATGTTATACTTTCTTCTACACTAATCAAGTAATTCACAATTCTTTTTCTCAATATTGGTTTGCTTGCCTTCCGTGTTGTTTTCCATACTTTCCAACTAATTGAGGTGTAGATAAGCGTTAATATGGAGATATAAGCATAATGTTTGTACAAAAGTTTGATAAATATATACATTAATATGTTTGTACAGTTAATATGTTTGCCACTTTGTTCAGTTAATGTTCAGTGATAGTTCTAGAGTCGCAAGTAAAGCTTGAAAAGGAATCTGAAGTGAATGAGCTTAAGGAGCAAGTTGGTGATTTGAAAGACCATCTAAGTGGAACAACGTGCAAATATCGACAAACTTATGGGTTTCATGGCTGCGATTGGAAACAAAACCTGAGATTGTTAGGCTTTGTTATTATTATTATTATTATTATTATTATTATTATTATTATTATTATTTTGATTTGGAATATTTTGAGATTGTTAGTTTATTCATTTATACTTTTAATTAGCAAAATTACTATTATTGTCGTTTTTTTAATTTATCATCTAGAAAATATTATCATCATATATTAATTATAAAGATTTTGTCATTGTATTTTCTGTTTAATGACATAATTGTTTAGAGTGACGAAATTTTGTCACTGTATTATATTTCATAACAAATAAATTTATCACTAAATATTTGCAATTAATGACAATTATTATATTTGTAATAGTCACAAATTTTAAATTGTCATTGGAAATAATCTTTTTTTGACAACATGTAATTGTGATTTATTTGTTTGGATTTGTCACCATATAAAATGTTAATATGACAATAAATTTTATCACTAAATATTTACTTTTTCATGACAACTTATGTTGTCATTATATCTCAAACTTTTGATGACAATCCTTTTTTTCGTAATCATAGAGCTAACAATTTTATGACAAAAGAATTCATCGCGTTTGTATGGTTTCTGAGACAATGACTATAACGTCACTATTTCTATTTTTTTGTGACACTTTTGTTATCGTCATATTTAAAATTTTCTTTCTGTGACAACAAATATTTTGTAATTATAAAACAACTATTTTATGACGAATTCTATGAAATATGACGATAATTATAACAAAAATGTCACAAAGATATTCGTCATTGAAATTTTATAAATCCGATAAAAAAAAATAAAATTCGTCACTAAACAGTAATATTTAGAAGACGAATGTAAGTTTTCGTCATTTAAAACTTGTCTTTTTATGACAAAATAATCGTTCATATGACAAAATTTTCATATTAAACGTGACGAAATTATTGTCAGGAAAAAGTGACCAAATAACATGACGAAACTTAAAAACGTCATTAAAAGTGAAACATTTGGTGACAAATTCGAAATTTGTCACCTATACCTAATATCACGCGGCTACGGTGACGATCGCTGTGACGACAAAATTTCGTCATCATTGTGCTTTTGTGACTAAAAACAAGGTTTACATGACGAATTTTTTCGTCATGTTTTGCGAAATTTCTTGTAGTAGAGGCCCTTTTCTTTCAGTCACAACAACTCAGCCCTTAAAGCCGTGCCCAACCGATCCAAAACCAAGCCATTTCTTCCTTTGATTTTAAGACTGGTGAAAGGTAACTAGTGAATCCCTATTGTAATTATGTCTAATTATATGTGATTTCATGTGCTATGATGTGGTTTAAGTTCAGCCTTTGAGAATATGAGATTATGGCTTGAGATTGAATAGTTGTCTATTTTCGAATCCATGAAACTGCAGCAAATTTGAATAGAATTTTTACCTAGCTATGCTTGTCCATTCGATCTGAAACTTTATACGCTATTTTTTGTATGAATGGCGAATATGTATGTGAAATTTCAGATAATTTGGATGTGTATAGCATGTTGTGGGACTGTTTGAAGTCAGATGTGTAATTCGATTCATATCCCCTATTTTTAACTGCAACTTTGAGTCGATATATCTCAGCCTATGATCATGATATTGGTTTGAAATGTTTATGACAAATTCAGATATGTGTTGAGAGTATGTGTATCGAATTTCAGCCTCTGATGATGTGTATTGAATGAGATAAAAATATCTAAGCCTCAGCATGTCAGTCTGCCATTAGATTCAAAGTTTCTCAGTCTACACTTATGATATTTATTTTAAATTTTTATTTGTATGTCTTGCATGAGTTTAGTTATGTCTATCAACTTTCAGCCTCATATGTTGAGTATAGAATTTAGAGAAACTCTTGATGATGATGGTATCATAATCATGTTCTTATGCGTAGTTTGGCTTCTGTGTTGGCATGCCTATTGTGGTGCTTTTGACCTGAAATTTTAACCGGAGATACTTGAGCATGTTGGCCAATGAACTGCTAAGTTTCAGCATTTTATGACTTATGTATGATTTTATATAATTTTTGGAGTTTAAGGGTCTCTTTAGCCTTAGTGGATTAAGGTATTTGTGAGCCTTTAATAATAAGATAAAAATTATTAATTGTAGATTAACGAGGAGTCGAGCCTTTTGCCTACCTTCTGCTGATCATTGTGTATCTGTCTATCTCGACTGATCAAGTGGGTGTTGATAAACCTTACCATGTTCGTTATTCTATATAATTTCTTGGCTTGATAATCAATGTATGCATGTGACCCACTAATATATGCATGTTGCACCCACCGATGGATTTTTCCGGTGACGTCCTATTATGGTGCTTTTAATCACCGACGGGTTATGCTAGTGGTTAACTCTCTTGCCGATGGGTTATGACAGGAGAGAGATGTGTACACATTAGCATAGAGCCATATAGGAGTAGACGTAGTGATTTGTGTTCATGGTACTATTATGATTTTAAGTCATTATAGTGAATAGACTGCATGGTATTCCCATGGCGAGCTAGTTGGTTTACTCACCCCAATTATTTCCCCCTTTTCAGGTTGAGCTGGTGGTCGTGGCATAAAACGGGCGAGTAGGGTCATTATTATCTATGTATTATGATATTGTTTTAAATCTTAGTGATGATCACACCATATTAAGTCTGGTTTGAAAATGTGGTTAAAGGTTGAGTTGGGATGGTTTATTCCCAATGGCTTGAGTTGGTACTTAAGCTAATATATTGAGTTTGGATTAAGTAATGACCGTTAATCGATTTTCAATTGTAAAATGATTTGCGAAACTTTACCTCTGATTTTGGAAAAATTCGGTACATTTTTTATAAAAATAACGGGGCGTTACATGAACCCTCACAAATGAAACGTTTCGCGTAACAAATAACAACCTTGTTATTAAACGTAAACGAAAAACCATCCATAACGAGTTTAGAAATTGAAATATGATTCTGAAGTGAATATTAATTTTACTCGGGCTCCTTCGACTCGTACGGCCTCCGTACCTGCAAGAACCCAACGCCGGGAGGGGTCCCGGCGTCGGGCCTCCGACGCTCAAGTCAATATGACACCAAATCTTTAAATCCCAAGTGTATAGTATTAAATGTAGAGTGTGAGAGAATGAGATACCTTAGCTTCCTTTTATAGGGAGAGTGTACCTTATGGCCTAAGTTGGGCTTGTCCAATAGCATCATTTCACGTATCCTAGTCATGTGTAGGCTTATTCTTCAATATATTTTCATTAAACCGGTCTAGTATAATATCCTATATCATGTAGTCCCCCCCAGTCTAGTCGAGTAAGCATGACTCGATCCAAGAGTGACATGCCTCTTCGGGCTATTTCCGTCAACCTGCTACTGAGGTCATAATTTGAATAAATCCTCGACTACCAAATAATCACCAAACCTCCAAATGAGCATTGGGACCCAAATGAACACCGAATGACCGCTGAGGTCAAAAACTGAAAGACTCGCCACTAGGGTTGAACACCGAAATCTGAATGACCAATGAGGTCGAAAATCGAGTGACCCACCACTGGGGTCACACACCGAAAGTCGGACAGCCGCTGAGGTCGAAAATCGAGTGAACCCAGCACTGGGGTCTAACACCAAAAGTTAAACGACCATCGAGGTCGAAAACCAAGTGACCCGCCATTGGAGCCTAACACCAAAAGTCGGACGACCGCTGAGGTCGAAAATCGAGTGACCCACCACTAGGGTCTAACAGCAAAAGGCGAACGACCGCTGAGGTCGAAAACCGAGTGACCCACCACTGGGGCCTAACACCAAAAGCCGAACGACCATTGAGGTCGAAATCCGAGTGACCCACCACTGGGGTCTAACACCAAAAGCCAAATGACCAATGAGATCGAAAATCGAGTGACCCGCCACTAGGGTCGAACACCGAAAGCCAAATGACCAATGAGGTCATAAATCGAGTAACCCGCCACTTGGGTCGAACACCAAAAGCCAAATGACCAATGAGGTCGAAAATCGAGTGACCTGCCACTGAGGTCGAACACCAAAACCCAAATGACCAATGAGGTCGAAAATCGAGTGACCCGCCACTAGGGTCGAACACCAAAAGTCAAATGACCAATGAGGTCGAAAATCGAATGACCCACCACTGGGGTAGAACACCAAAACCCAAATGACCACTGAGGTCGAAAATCGAGTGACCCGCCACTGGGGTCGAACCTTGATTCCTAGAGTATATTCATTCTCTCTTCATTTTGCAATGTCGACCTTCCTTTGGTCTTGACCTGCGTACTTGGACTTTCATGATACTTTGATAGATTTTCTCGATCTCTTCCCGAAGTCTTGAATTTGAAAATTTGAACTCACGTCTACTATTTCCCGACCACCATGTTCGAGCTCTTTTCGCTCATAGATACGACCACCAGGTCTTGTCTCCCTTCAGTTCAAAATTTTAAATTCAATCCTGCTGTTTATACTCTAGAAAACCAAATGTCCTGACGCCACCTTCGTGTCGAAAAATCGAATTCGACAAAAGCAAACCAAATAAAACCATTGACCTGAATAACCTGACTTCGTGAACTGCTCTAAGTGAACTCTCTTGACTTACCACTGGGTCGAAAAATAAACTCAACAAAACCAGAGAAATTAATAAACCATTGACCTGCCACCGAGGTCCTCGAATAATCTTCAAGCATTGCACCAAATGAACCCCTCGACCTGCCACTGAGGTCGAAAAATAAATTCATGCACCAAATCACGTAAAAACGATCGACCTGCTCGGGCTATCCATCCTCCATGTATTTAACGACCAAACATTAGGATCGGCCACCTAGCCTCACGGCCTTAGTCTTGGTGGATTTTGGTCTTCGAACACATGCCCACCTTCGAAGAGGTGGTTGATACATGCGACCACCCAGCCTCACGGCCTTAGTCATAGTGGATTTTTGTCGTCGAACACATGCCCACCCTCGAAGTAGTGGTCGATACATGCGACCACCCAGCCTCACGGCCTTAGTTATGGTGGATTTTTGTCGTCGAACACATGCCCACCCTCAAAAGAATGGTCGATAGATGTGACCACCCAGCCTCACGGCTTTAATCGTGGTGGATTTTACTCCCTTGAACACATGCCCATCTTTGAAGAAGTGGTCGATACATGCGACTATCCAGCCTCACGGCCTTAATCATGATGAATTTTTCTCCCTTGAACACATGCCCACCTTCGAAAAAAAAGGTCAATACATGTGACCATCTAGCCTCACGGCCTTAATCATGATGGATTTTACTCCCTTGAACACATTCCCACCTTCGAAGAGGTGGTCGATACATGCAACCATCCAGCCTCACGGCCTTAATCATGATAGATTTTACTCCGTTGAACACATGCCCACATTCGAAGAACTGGTCGATTCATGCGACCACCCAGCCCGGAGGCCTTAGTCATGGTGGATTTTTTCTTCGACCACTTGCCCACCCCGAAAGGGATGTTCAAAACAAGCGACCACCCAGCCCGGAGGCCTTAGTCATGGTGGATTTTTTCTTCGACCACTTGTCCACCCCGAAAGGGATATTCAAAACAAGCGACCACCCAGCCTGGAGGCCTTAGTCATGGTGGATTGTTTCTTCGACCACATGTCCACCCCGAAAAGGATGTTCAAAGCAAACGACCACCTAGCCCGGAGGCCTTAGTCATGGTGGATTTTTTCTTCGACCACTTGCCCACCCCGAAAGGGATGTTCAAAACAAGCGATCACCCAGCCTGGCGGCCTTAGTCATGGTGGATTTTTTCTTCGACCACTTGCCCACCCCAAAAGGGATGTTCAAATCAAGCGACCACCAAGCCCGGAGGCCTTAGTCATGGTGGATTTTTTCTTCAACCACTTGCCCATCCCGAAAGGGATGTTAAAAACAAGCAACCACCCAGCCCTGGGGCCTTAATCATGGTGGATTTTTTTTTCTTTCGAACTGCTCGAACACTTCGACCTGCCACTGACATCCACAAGAAAACACACCAAACACCACGAGACAGAATAGTAATTGATCATTTTCGTTAGTTCCATCAAATGCATAGTTATATCGAACAAGCTAAAAAAAATCAAGCATAATTTTTTACCTCCCTTTCATATTTGTACGCGACGACTTGAGTTCTTTGTTTGCTCCATGCTTTCCACTCTTCAACATAACCAATATCCAGTACACCTGTTCATGTATTTTCCTCAGCAAGAATTGAACAAATACCATTAGCCGTATTATCCATTTGCAATCCCGATAGCAATAATAACAAGAGATTAATAAATAAAAGCAATAGAATTGGTCCACATGCTTTTATACCTTACTTCAATCTACAGGCAAGTCTCTTTACCATGATATGAAATCAAATAAA